GGTTTCTTTAACCTCAAAGGTCGGGGGGGAGGGGGGTTCACTCGAGTTGTTTGTTCGCCTGTCAGTGAAAAAGGCGAGAAAAAAAGGGGGCAGGGGGGGAGAAAAGAGAAAAGCTTCTTGTTGTCGTTCTTGTTCTTTCTCAGCGTAATTAGCGCAAAGGAGCCGCCGCCATCTGTTGAAGATTCGCTCGTATTCTTCTCGGGAGAAAGCCGCCGCCGCCGTCGCTGCCGCCGTCCTTCCCTCCATCCGCATCTCTGCTCCGTTTTTGTTTTGTGTGTGCAGGTACTGCTTCCCTTTCGGACGACCAGATGGCGCACTGAAGGCCACCCTCTCCTTGCAGGAGAGGGTAATATTTTTGCATTTTATGGAGATGTATGTACTGAAGATACAAAATGTGTGCGGATAGACACGCCATATCCCGATGTGGATCTAGTTTGACGACAGGCCAAAGTAATTTAGCAACCTGCACATGAGCTCGGCTGTCCCTCCCAAAAAATGCGCCGGGCCACCATCGATTTGGTCATATCAAACATTCAAGTGTGGGAGACAATCAAAAAAAAAAAAAAAGAGGTCCGGCAGTGTCCTCACGTTTGCTGATGTCGTGCCAGGTTCTCATGAAGGACGTGAGCACGCCGGTCGGCTGCGAGGAGATGAAGAAGGTGGTGCAGGGATGTCTGGAGAAGGCGGCGGCCATCAACTACAGCCAGCTCATCGACTACGCCGACGTGAAGGGTGAGCGTGCGCGGCGACCCCCCCCCCTCCCCACCAAGCCCCCTGACGCGTCGCTGACGACTTTGCGGCCTTTTGCAGCCGAGCCCGAACTGGACGCCGAGAAGAGGCTGCGGGACGCCGTCAGGCTAGCCGAGCTCGTCATCGAAGTCTTGCAGCAGAACGACGAACATCATGCCGAGGTTGCTCTCTCTCTCTCTCTCTCTCTCTCTCTCTCTCTCTCTCTCTCTCTCTCTCTTTTTTTATGTTCTTTTTTAAACGTCTCAGGGTTGCTACACGTGCCCGCCAATTTTGTTACGCCAAGGTCAAACTTACCGGGGGAGAGGGTTTTGTTCATCGCAACCATGTGGACAAATCTCTTTGCCAATGCTCACAGGCATATATTCTTTATCCTCTGGGGAAAGCAACTGATATTGCTGCAGCATGCCGAGTCCCATCTGGTCTTGTTCTGCATGGTTGTTATACTGCCCCCGGTGGCCAAATAATGCTCATTGTCGAAATACATTCAAAGCAATTTTGCACAGCTTTTTTGGGGTGGGGTTGGGGGGGCGGGGTTAGAGCAGATTGGCATTTTTGTTCATTTAACTGGAGGACAATAATTTCACATTTCAGATCAGAACAAATTCAAGTTGTATCTCAAGGCACCACTGGATAGCGGTTCCCATTCATATGAATCACGTGTGTGCCGTAATTATTTAAAAAAAAAAAAAAAAAAAGCATCTTCCGTTTGTCGTGGATCCAAATGAAGCTCACACAGAAACGCCGGTTCGGCTTTTGATCATTTCATGAAAGTTCTTGACGACTTTTGGCTGCCGCGTTCTGCTCGCAAACGACGCCCACAGCTCGCGTCCTGCGTAGCGCACGCGCGCGTGGAAAAGAGATCAATGGCAGATGTCGAGTCGACGTCGGCAGCTATTCTCGGAACCCCGTCGCCGTGGCAACCGGCCACCGATGTCACTCGGAAAATTAACAACTCCGCGCCCGGGTCAAACTAAGCGTAACGCGCTCGCATTCCGCCCACCTGTCGTATTTCCGTGCTCATCGCAATGTTTTTATTTTTTATTTTTTTTAAACCGACGCCTTCCTTCCGTTTGCATTTCGGTTCGTACTTTGTTGCTCCTTTTTTCAACTCGTGTTTTTCTGAATACTCGCTGTATTCTTCTTCCCGCGGACGACAAATCCTCTGGCCCATTGGATTGGCCGCGATTGCCGCACCCAAATAATTGCCCGACTTTTGCCGACTTTAAAAGAGATCAAATTTGCCGAGTGCAACTGCAGCAATCCTCAAGATTTGCTTGAAATGATTTCCCCCTTCCGAGATTGTCCATCAAAAATGAACATTTTGGTCTTTGCCGAGTCAGAATGTTTGATGACATGCACGCATGCTGAAGTGTGTGTGCGTTCATGATTTTATCTTTTTGTGTGTGTGTGTGTGTGTGTGTGTGTGTGTGTGTGTGTGTGTGTGTGTGTGTGTGTGTACTTTGCTGCTGCTGCAGGGACGAGAGGCAAGTTAGTTGTCGTGTTTTTTGAATCGTGTTGCATGCAGTGTGCGTGTTTCAGACTCGCCGTGTTTCCTTTTTGTTTTTTTTTTTCATCTTGGCTTGAATCTTTTGTTTCAGAGAGTGAAGTACAACAAACAACCAATGGCTGGGGATCAATTATGCTGGAAAAAATAAAAACAAGTTGGTCGATTTGGAACGAGTGAAATGCAAACAGCCTCCGAAGAATCGATTTGATCGCGTGACTTGCCGGGCGCCGTTTTGTATTTTCATTTCCTGCAAATTTCACCGTTACTTTGGAGGCGCCGTCAAATGACGAAGCGTCGGCTTGGCAAAATACGTCACGGCCGCAGCGACTGGCCCAAAATAATTTCGCGATCTATTTGATCGAGCGTACTGTACGTGACCGGTAAAATCGGACCCCGCGCTCTATGCGTGGTTTAGTCGCTTGTTGTGGAATTAAAAAAAAAAAAAAAAGATATTACATAAAATAAGATCATATTTACATATTGTCGAAACTCCGATTCAACTCATTCCAGTCGCATCAGTGGAAGGGAATCGTACGTTCCAGTTGTTGCCACCTGGTGGACGCGAAGCGAATATGTCATTTCCCGTCTTCTGAATAATTCAATCGCCATTTATTTCTTCGTATTTGTTGGCGATTTCGCGCTCGGCTTCTCTGGCCG